GGCGTGAGGGGTTTGAGGGCAACTCTTTTTAAGCAAGAAAGTTTTAGCACAAAATAAATATTTTGCTTCTCAAAGTTTTTGCCAATAGCATGTTCTAGAGTTTGGAGGGTATCCTTCGCAGCAACAGCCCTGCAGCAACCTACAGCAACAAGATGAACCATACTCATGAGGTAAGCTAATGTCTATGCTTAAACTAGATCTACTAGCTAGGACGCGTAGTGATTAGCTAGATCTACTCTACGTCTAGTAGAGTAGCGTGTTAGATGCGTGATATAGTTGCGTAAGTTGTGTTGGGTGGTGGATGGGTGGGCTATCTAGATGTGGTGGGGTTTGATTTGGTTGGGAGCGTGGGAGGGGTTGGGAGCATGTTTGGAGGTTCAAAAGTTAGAATCGCGAATTGGCAAGGCCAAGGATGACTTCGCAAAGTCGTCGCGAATATAGTGGGAAAATTCGCGTTTTTTGTCCGGGCTGCCCAGAAAAAATTCCCCCAGCGTTTTGCGAATTTCAGGTAAATCCGTATTCGCGAATTTACGCTTACGAATTTACGTAAAAGGCTGGGGGACCCCAACGAATTTGCCCACTTAGCTTGTGAGTGCATGCATGCTGTCATTTCATGCCATGCCATGCCGTGCCATGCTACATCATACGTTAGAAGGATAGCACGAAGCCAGCATAGCATCGGACTATGCGTTGATGATGCACGATCATGTGTCTCAAGCTGAGCTGTTTCCTTTGCTCTGCACAGCCGTCCAAGGCTTGTTCTCCGCCAGTCTCTCTCCCTTGTCTTCCTGTCTGATCTTCGCACCACAGCCACACAACTCTGCACCATGCAGATGCTTGCTCACTCATGCTCGTGCAGTCACTCGCACACTCGCTCTCACATACCCCCTCACACACACACACACACACACACACACACACACACACTCGCTCTCATATACACACTCGCTCTCACTCACACTCACTCTCGTGCACACACTCGCTCACACACACACTCGCTCTCACACACACACTCGCACCCTGCAAACATACATCTTGACACACATTGAGGGAGCCTAAACCTTTCTGCCTGCCTCGTGTGCTTCCAGGCAGCTCTCTCAGCTCGACATCGTGGGGAACCTGACAGATGGCATCAGCCACCTCACCTCCTTCACTGCCATGTATGCCTCAACCTTTTCGTCATGGATTCCCAATCTTCCCTCACTTTTGTTTACGCCGTGACCTTTCTGCCATCATTTGAGCCCACTCCAGTCTCCTATTGTTTGCCCTCTGCCCCTCTCTTCCCCCTGCCAATCGTCTTCGTGGCAATCACTTTTCCGGCTCCCTCCCTGAGTCCCTGGGCAGTCTCACCAACCTACAACTCCTGTGAGGGCCGTGTGCTCTGACTATTCGCTCTTAGCATACTCTCCTTCTGCCTCCACCCCCATTTTTTATGCACTACTTCTTTCTTCCTTAATTTCCCACTTTTGCTTTGCCGAATCACCTTCCACCTTCTTGTGCCATGTCTCCTCATTCTTGTTGCATGAGAAGGCAATCCTGGGTCCATGCACCTAGACATGGGCATGGGACATGGGCAGGGGACATGGGCATGGGACATGGGACATGGGGCATGGGACATGGGGCATGGGGCATGGGACATGGGCACAGGGCATGGGATATGGGGCATGGGACATGGGGCATGGGACATGGGACTTGGGCACGGGACATGGGGCATGGGGCATGGGTCATGGGGCATGGGGCATGGGACATGGGGCATGGGGCATGGGACATGGGGCATGGGGCATGGGACATGGGGCATGGGACATGGGGCATGGGGCATGGGCATGGGGCATCGCCCATCTGAAGAGGACTGGCCGTGGTAGGCCCGTCCTCGAGCCAAGCGGATTGGGGCGTTTCCGACCCCACCATCTTTGCAGATCGGGTCATATTGCCTCTTGTCGACACAGGCCGACCCCCCCCCCCTCACGTGTGCAGCAATTTGGGCAGCAGCGAGTTTATTGACAGCTTGGCCAATCTCTTCCTTCCTCCCCTCCCTCCCTCCCTGTCCCGCTCCCCTCGCGCATGCAGCAATCTGGGCGACAACGAGTTCACGTGCACACTGCCGGCGTCCATCAGCAACCTCAAGCTCCTCACCACTCTGTCCGTCTCCACATGGGACAGGGAGAGGGGGAGAGGGGGGGAGAGGGACGGATGAAGGGGAGGGGAAAAGGGAGAGAGTACAAGGGAGAGAGGGAAAGAGCACAAAGAGGGAGGGAGGAAGGGATGAATAGCAGGATATAGGGAGAGTGCGCGATAGCGAGAGAGAGAGATATAGAGAGCAGAGAAAAGGTGTCTGCTACCCATCTTGCACTCGGCTTTGGGGCGCTCACATGCCGCCCTCAATTCCATCTTGTGTTGCTCAGAGGTACTCAAGGCATGCATCGACAAGCTAATGGAAACAGCCCAGTGGGATAATGGCATGTGCACATGCACACGCACATGCATATCACTATTCTCTTCGTTGTGTTTGTGCGTGCATGCATGTGTGTACGTGTCCATGTGTGTGGGTGGGAAAGGGTGTGTATGTGTGTGTGTGTGTGTGTGTGTGTGTGTGTGTGTGTGTGTGTGCATACATGCGCGCGTGTGTGTGAGTGCCTGGTGTGAATTGACAGCTGATTGGAGTGCAACCGCTTCTCTGGTTTTCTTCCTTCCCTTCTCACCGCGCTCGCTGCACTCAACCGCTTGTCAGACATTCTCTCTCACCGTTGTAGAAAGCTTGTCATATCAAAGTACTATTTCTCATGGTTTTTGTCTCGGCCACTCGCCTCATGCCTGCTGCACCCATGTGCTTGCAACCCCCTTGAGCAGCCATCCTCAACCTATCCCCAAGTGTCCATTTCCCATTCTCCTCCTGCCCACGGTTCCCTGTGTTAGAAACTGAGAACTTCATAGATGGAATGAGCAAGAGCATACATCCTTAAGTACCGAGCATCGGAGAGGATGGGAAGGGATAAGGGAGAATTGGAGGGAATCCCAAGGGAATCCTCCCAAATCGGGGGGATTTGGGATGGATTGGGTTGGGATAGGTTGGGGATGAAAACAAAGCTACACCCAACCTAACAAATATGCATAACCCTGTTGTGTGATGTCATCATATGTTATCACATTCTGTCTGCCTCCCATCCCTTGTTTCAATTCGCACGTATGGTTTGACTGTGTGTGAAAGAATTTGTGTGGTGTGTGTTCTGGAGTTTGGGAATGTGTTTTGTGTTATTCTGTCTGAGCAGGTATTTGTGATGATAGATCTTGAGAAGATCTTTCCGACGCAACAAGAATCGCGTCAATCGGAGCAAGAACGCGAAAGCTATGAAGATTCAAAGTTCATGAGCTTGCGTTACAATTGCGGCGGTTACAAAGTGAAGTTGTGGGGTGACTTTATATGGAGTTGGGACCTTTGGGGTTGGGGAAATTCGTCACTCTACTGTAACAGCTGCAAATTGGTTGGGAACAACCAAGCTAGGTTGGCAAGGGTGGCCAACTTGGATGGATTGGTTGGGAAGGGACAAATGTCAAAGTTGGGGTTCCTATAGGGAGGGAATCTTTGTGCTTATGGGGTTTCCTTGGTTGGGGACTCTCTTGGGACCTTCCCTCTCATCCCTCTCTTCTATCCCAACCTTTCTCTTGCTCCTTCTAATTCCTTGTGAGATTCTTGAACTTTGATTGAACTCTTGAGATTGAGTTAAGTTCTCCTCCTACAGCTTACCCCCTAGTGCGTCGAAAGCCATAGCGTCGCGAATACTTCATCAATCAACGTGATTCAAATTGGGAACGGTAGCTGAGATCAAGAGCTACAACATATCCAAGTTTCGCGACATTCCAACGGCTAGTGTTTTGTCGACGTCGTTTCTTGTGAAGACGACTTTTCTGTCCAGAATTTCGGATTTATATTTTGAGTAATTCTAGCTCCTAAGTTCACCTAGACTCTGTCCTTAATCCTAACAAGTGGTATCAGAGCAATATTAAGGACATTGAGAGGAGTCTACAGAAGTTTGAAGACCCTTCTAGACCCACCATGGCCTGTGGGTGTGCCTAAGTGGTGTTCTAAAGGTTGGATGTGTCTTCCGCTAAGGGGAAACTCTGCCGAAATTTCGTGGACGCCGACACTTGTGAAAATATCGAGGGAGCTGAGTGTGGACAGCAAAGGGGAGCTGAAATTCGTCATTTCTCAAGGAGAAGATGAATGAGAGAGGAGGAGATGCTAATGGAAGAGGAGCTGTACCTGAGAAGACAAGTGAGCCGCCGCCATCAAAAGTTGAAGCTTTGGATGGCTCCAACTATGAGGAATGGAGCGGACGGATGAGGAGTGCCTTCAAACGCTACAAGCTACTGAAGATTGCTGTTGGGGAAGAGAAGATGCCGGAAGAAGGCGAAGCACGTGAACGGTGGATTGAGAAAAGCACGGTGCTTTTCGACCTCATCCTTCAATCGGTCAACAAGGAGATGTTCGAGCACATCAAGGATCTTGTGGAAGCGGATGATTCGGGTCCAAGGGCGTGGAAACTACTACGCGATGTGATTCAGCCCAACACTCTCCTGATGGTGATCGTGCTCGAGAAGGAACTTGCTGCCATCTCCATGCGACCAGGGGACGATGTGAAGCCGGTCCTTGACAAGATCAAGGACACCTATGCAAGGATGGCAGCAGCGGGCAGCAGTGTATCTCAGCTGCAGCAGTGCACCAAGATCATCTCGGTGTTGGACAACTCTTGGGACAACCTCATCCCCACCCTCAACTCTCAACAAGATCAATGGACACCTGAGTGGCTAAGGCAGCAGATTCTGCAGGAGGACTTCCGCAGACGCCATGTGGGAGGCGGTGCTGCCACTAAGACTGCTGAGGGGTATGGAGCTGCAGGGCGCGGCAGAGGAAGAGGGGGTTGGAGAGGCCGAGGCCGTGGGAGGAGCTTTGGCAGAGGTAGAGGCCGAGGTGACTATAATGAGGGGCATGGGAGCTCTAGTGGCAGGGGGAGTACCAGAATGGAGGGCACCTGCTGGTACTGCAAGAAGATAGGGCATCCTTGGTTCAAGTGCTTCAGCAGGCCGGAGGGATGGGCACCTCCAGGCATGAAGCCACCCAGTGGTGAACGCGCACAAGGTGGCGCTGTGCAAGATGAAGGTGCACAAGGTAACGCCTATCCTGGGATGTATCTCATGGTTGAGGATGTGCATGGGCATGAGGGTGATGTGGGATCTGTCGGAAAGGTTGTGATGCACCCTCTCACGCACTGGGTGATTGATTCGGGTTGCACCAGTCACATGACCCCACGGGCAGATTTGCTTGATGAGGTAAAACCCCCTGGGAAGATTAAGTATGTGGCAGCAGCGTCAGGTGCTTTGCTCCCCGTGATTGGTGTTGGGAATGCCAAGGTTAAGGGAGCTAATGGGGAGCTTGTGGGGCTTGGGAATGTTCTGCTGGTTAAAGGCTTGTCTGCTAACCTTCTCTCTGTGCGGCGGCTGCAGAAGAGTAAGGCCGAAGTGACCTTTGGACCAACCAGCTGCCGTGCTAAGCTTGGGAAGAAGGTGCTGTGGAGTCTGGAAGAGGAGACCAGCTGCATCAAGGACCTGTGGCAGCTGCCCATCATCCCTTGGAATGGGAAGACTCCAACAGCAGCAACGGCAGCAGTGGCAAAGGCAACAGCAGGAGGAGATGCAACTGCACCAACTGATGGGGTCCTGGAAGCAGTCAAGAAAGTGCAGAAGCAGCAGACACATGGTGAGGTGCTTGCTGGTGTGGATGCGAGTGCGGCATGGGCTAAGGCTTCATCAAGGAGTGGAGAGGCCGATTGGGAGACATGGCATGAGAGGTTGTGTCATGTGAACTTCCCTATGCTGCAGAAGTTGGTGAAGAATGGGAGCCTGAAGGGCTTGGAGGTGAAAGGGGAAGTGAAGGAGATTGGGAGCTGCCCTACATGCTTGGAGACCAAGTTCTCCAAGTTCCCCTTCAACAGTGCAACAGGACCAGCCAAGACCCCACTTGCACTTGTGCACATGGATGTGGTGGGGCCCACAAGAGCCCCTTCCCTCTCAGGCAGCCGCTATTTCTTGACAATTGTGGATGACCACACTCGGGCAGTGTGGGTTTACCCTTTGAACAGCAAGGGGGAGGTGGCAGCGGCTGTCCTTAAGGAGTGGATGCCTAGAGCTCAGAGGGAATGCGGACACAAGGTGAAGGTGATCCGCAGTGACAATGGTGGGGAGTTCATTGGAGCTGATTTTGAGGGGGAGTTGAAGAGGAAGGGGATCCAGCATCAACTGACAGTGCCCTACAATCCGCAGCAGAATGGCGTGGCTGAGAGGTTCAACAGGACCCTGCAGGAGGGGGCACGCACTCTCCTTGGGCGTGCAGGGCTACCTGATCCGTTTTGGGTGTCTGCACTGAGGCAGGTCGCCCTTGTGAAGAACAGGGTGCTGGCTACAGTTGGAGATAAGGAGTGGATCCCATATATCAAGTGGTATGGGAGTGCTCCAGCTGTGAACATGCTGAGGGCATTTGGGTGCATGGTAGTGTTTCATGTGCCTAAGGAGAAAAGAGGGAAGTTGGAGGCTTCTGGAAGATGGGGTGTGCACTTGGGGATTGCAAAGGATCACAAGGGATGGCTGCTATGGGACTTGACCACCCAGAAGCTGACAGTGTCAAGGGATGTGAAGTTTCTTGAGTCCCTGTACTACAAGGAATGGAAGCAGCAGCAACAGAAGCTTCCATCTACACCGCTCATTGTGGAGGCAGATGAGGTGCAGCAGCCTTCAAGACAGGTGGAGGTTGCAGTGTCAGAGGAGGAGATGTCTGGGGTGACTGAGGAAGGGGGAGCAGCTGAAGTAGAGCAGCAGCAGCAGCAGCAGCATGAGTCTCCACCTCGAGTTCCACACCCGCCTGAGCGTCCTAGGAGGGATGTGCGCCCTCCAGTGAGGCTGACCTATGGGGGAAGAGGCAAGCCGAATGTGGTGCAGGCTGGGAGTGTGGTTGAGCAGATTGAGGAAGATGAGATCGCTCACTGCTACTGGGCACCAATCCCTGAGCCCAAGACTCGAGAAGAGGCCTTGAATGGACCAAATGGGGAGAAGTGGAAGGCGAGTGAGGATGAGGAGTTCGGGTCCCTAATTGAGAACGAGACATGGGACCTGTGTGACTTGCCTCCTGGAAAGAAGGCAATCACTTCCAAGATGATCTACAGGCACAAGTATGGACCTGAAGGGGAGCTGACCCGCTACAAGTCTAGGCTTGTGGCACGGGGGTTTCAGCAGACAAAGGGGAAGGACTATGATGAGGTGTTTGCTCCTGTGGGGAAAGGAACAACACTGAGGGTGCTGTTGGCGATAGCTGCACTCCTGGGATGGAAGATTCGGCAGATGGATATTGTGACTGCCTTTCTGAATGGGATCATTATGGAGGAGGTGTACATGAAGCAGCCAGAGGGGCTGGATGATGGGAGCGGCAGGGTCTGCAGGCTGAAGAAGGCAATCTATGGCCTTAAGCAGGCGCCTCGTGCATGGTATCACAAGTTGGAGGAGGCGCTGGTGGCTGGGGGTTTCAAGAAGAGTGAGTGTGACCCCAGCCTGTTCCTGCTGCAGGAGAAGGACGAAATCCTCATGCTCTTGGTGTATATGGATGATATCCTTCTCTTTTCTGCATCCACTGCTTTGCTGGACAGCGCAGAGCAGATGCTGGAGATGCAGTTCAAGTGCTCCAAGATGGGTGAGGTGAAGTACTACTTGGGGATGCATGTGGAGAGAGATGTGGAGAAGGGTGTGCTGAGGTTGCACCAGAGGAAGTACTGTGAGGGGCTGGCTGAGAAGTATGGGCTGCAAGATGGGGGAAAGCCAGCAACACCACTACCTTCAGGGTTTACTGTGGAGCCATGTGCTGATGAGGAGGTAGTGGGTGAGAGTGACAGGAAGCTGTTTCATTCGATGGTTGGGTCGCTGAATTATGCTGCAAATCATACACGGCCTGACATTGCATTTTCTACATCACGGTTGGCTAGTGTGGTCTCACGCCCTAGTCATGAGCAGCTGGAAGCGGCCAAGAGGTTGGTCCGCTATGTGAGTGCTACGGCATCAGTGGGATTGGAGTACAGTGGAGTGAGGCAGCGGTTGCAGAGAGGTGCTGCAGATGTGAAGAGTGGAAAGATGCTCTTGAGTTGCTATACTGACGCTAGCTTCAACTCAGTGAAAGCGGATGGCACCAGCATTGGGGGTTATGTGTGCTTGCTAGGAGGTGGTGCTGTGAGCTGGCGCAGCAAGAAGCAGAATGAGGTGGGATTGTCCTCATGTGAGACTGAGTACATGGCCTTACACCATGGGGCCAAGGAAGTAGTGTGGCTAAGGCGTTTGTTGGAGGAGTTGGGAGTTGGTCAGGAGGAGCCGACAGTTGTGTTCTGTGACAATGAGTCTGCTGTGAAGCTCGCCAAGAATGCTTGTCTGCATGGGCTGACAAAACACATAAGGCCTAAGTGGCACTGGGTGAGGAGACTCCTTGATAAGGAGGTGCGGCTGGAGATAGTGAAGACCCATCAGCAGGCAGCAGATATTTTCACTAAGCGTCTGGCGGAGGCGGATCATTGGAAGGGCATGAAGCTTGCTGGGATGAGTGTGCATTGAGTATGCATGCTTGAGATGTGGTATGGTCGATGATGGTTGGCAGCCAGAGGGGGAGATTGTTGTGTGATGTCATCATATGCTATCACATTCTGTCTGCCTCCCATCCCATGTTTTCAACTTGCATGTGTGGTTTGAATGTGAAAGAATTTGTGTGTGGTGTGTTCTGGAGTTTGGGAATGTGTTCTGTGTTATTTTTGTTTGAGCAGGTATTTTGATGATAGATCTTGAGAATATATTTCCGACGCAACAAGAATCGCTTCAATCGGAGCAAGAACGCGAAAGCTATGAAGATTCAAAGTTCATGAGCTTGCGTTACAATTGCGGCGGTTACAAAGTGAAGTTGTGGGGTGACTCTATATGGAGTTGGGACCTTTGGGGTTGGGGAAATTTGTCACTCTACTGTAACAGGTGCAAATTGGTTGGGAACAACCAAGCTAGGTTGGCAAGGGTGGCCAACTTGGATGGATTGGTTGGGAAGGGACAAAGGTCAAAGTTGAGGTTCCTATAGGGAGGGAATCTTTGTGCTTATGGGGTTTCCTTGGTTGGGGACTCTCTTGGGACCTTCCCTCTCGTCCCTCTCTTTCTATCCCAACCTTTCTCTTGCTCCTCTAATTCCTTGTGAGATTCTTGAACTTTGATTGAACTCTTGAGATTGAGTTAAGTTCTCCTCCTACAGCTTACCCCCTAGTGCGTCGAAAGCCATAGCGTCGCGAATACTTCATCAATCAACGTGATTCAAATTGGGAACGGTAGCTGAGATCAAGAGCTACAACATATCCAAGTTTCGCGACATTCCAACGGCTAGTGTTTTGTCGACGTCGTTTCTTGTGAAGACGACTTTTCTGTCCAGAATTTCGGATTTATATTTTGAGTAATTCTAGCTCCTAAGTTCACCTAGACTCTGTCCTTAATCCTAACAAACCCTAAAACCAACAAATTCCTAACACACAAAGTTGTGCCAACCGAATTGCAGCCTATCTCCAACACACCCCCTAGGCTGCAACGTCGGACGCCATAGGGACACCAAGTCTCATGGTACGAAGGAGACGATGGTGATCACGATGTCCAAGAGCCTTGGTGAACAAGTCGGCGAGGTTGCAGTCAGAGGAGATGCGCTTAACACACAAATGCCCTCGCTGGACGAGCTCGCGCATGAAGAAGTGTCGAAGTTCGATATGCTTGGTCCGTTGGTGGAAGACAGGATCTTTGGTAAGGTGTATGATGCTCTTTTTGTCACACCACAGAGTTGGGGTCTGCTGAGGATACCCAAGCTCAGCCATGAGGTAGGTAAGCCATCGAGCTTCTTGGGCTGCCATGGTGCCTGCGTATAGCTCAGCTTCGCAGGATGACAATGAGATGGATGATGAGCGTGTAGATCGCCAGCTGATGACACCACATCCCTCCACATCCCTCCACATCCCTTCACATCCCTCCACATCCCTCCACATCCCTCCACATCTCCCATATCTCCCAAATCTCCCACATCTCCCACATCTCGCTCACATCTCCACGTGCCAGCGTCCTGACCAAGCTGCGCCCTACATCCATCACTTCCTCCCTCTTCGTGCTGCATGTCTCCTCATGCTGCGTGTCTCCACATGCTGCATGTCTCTGCATGTCTCCGCATGGCGTACCTCTCCCGCATGCCCCTCATCCCCCCAATGCATTGATCGTCATGCCTCTCGCCCCCCCTCCCCCACCCCCCTAAGCGTGTAAACGAGTGCCAGGGTATTCGTCCCCTATTCAAATTCGACATAATACGGATAACGAATCAAGTATATTTTTCATCGTGATTCTGACATATTCGGATATCACTCAATATTCATCGTCCGAACACCACGAATGCGGCAGAACGTGTGAAGCGACAAGAGCTTGGTGTGGAGGTGGGAGAAGATTGGATTGCAAGAGATGTAGTTGATGTAGGGGATGTAGTGGAGGGGTCCGTTAGGGTGTGGTGGAGAATGCGTAGATTTTTCAGCAATTTTACCAATAGTTTATGGCAGTTCACAGTGGAAATACCCATTCGAAATTTGAACCATATTGATCGCCATTCGAATGGCATTCAAACTCGAGAAATACCTACTATTCTATCAAATACCAAATTTGGCAAATGTTTGACTATCTTTTGCCCGAGACATTCGCATTCTTATTCGTAATTACAAGCTTCCACCCCCCTCCTTTGCATCTGCTTTTGAGGTGCCATTCGTATTCGTAGCCTCTTGTCTCAAGTGGTCTTTTGTATAAGTAAGCAAGGGGCTATGAGGTAAGCAAAATGCGCAGACAAGAGACAACCCTGCAGCCCGAGGTGGAGCACCCTAAGGGTCCCCCAGCATGGGCTTTCAGACATGCAGGAGGTTGCCCATGGGGAGGGGGTCCGCCGGGTCCCAGACCGGCCACTCCTTTGCCGCCAGGGCATTGTTGATGTTGGTGCTCAGTGCCACCGCCTGCCTGCCCATGAAGGAGGGTGACTGACCAGCGCTGCTGGAAGAGGCGGAAGAGGTTGGCAGCTTCCCTCTTGTCTCATATGACAAACTCTCCTCCCCCCCCATGCTCTATTCCCCTATATCGAGCGCGGTGAGGTCCGCGTGATCACCGACACGCGCATCGCTTCGCCGCTCAACCTGCCCTTCCTGCAGCAGATGGCCTGCACTGCCGCCCAGTGCGTGCAGCTGCCGTCTGCGCGCCACCCGGACATGGCTGAGGTGGTGCGCATCATGCTGGACGCCCGCCGTGGCTCCATGCCGCTGCTGCCGGTGGTGCTGCCCTGGCTGCTGCTGCTGGTGGGCCGGCAGTGTAGGGAGTGGGGATGAGGGGAGGGGGAGCAGGAGGAGCGGGGTGGTGGCAGGGGCCGGTGCAAGTGGTGGTGGTGCGGTGGAGCAAGGGCGCTGACCGGGAAGGGGGAGCCACAAGGCGGGAAGGTGGGGAGGAGAGGGAGTGGGAGTGCAAGTGGCAGACATAGGGTGTTGGGCAGTGAAAGTATGAGGAGGTGGGTGCAGTACTTTGCCAGATAGCATGATGCAGAGGCCAGGGGGGGCATGGGGTGGTGTGCTAGACTCGGAGAATGGGCATGGGTTTATTGGTGGTAACACAGGTAGCGGCGGTGCTGCTGATGGAGATGGCGACATGCCGTGAGGGGACGGCTACAAGTGAGCGCAGCCACGAAGAGTTGCGGCTTGAAGCCTGCATGTAGAATGGTCACGGTTCAACTATCTGTAATCCAAGCTTGTAGAAACGACGGATAAGCTGACGGCACACCTGGGCACCTTAAAAAAATGAATGTGGTGGTGGTTGCTACATTAAAGTCGCTCTTTGTTGTCTCCATGCGTAGAATCCACCGGTGAGGTCTTCAGCTGCACACCTTGGCGAGACAGGGAATTGAAAGCAGACGCAGGCGAATTCACAAATGTGGTGGTCCATGGTGAGGTGTCCATCCCATACCACCAGCCAAGCTAGAGACTTGTCTGCTGTGGTCACTGGTGTTTGGCCCGCCCAGATTACTATGCGTCACCACTGTTTGCTACATTTCATCAGTGCTCTTCCTCATCGCATGCCAGGCACGGTAAGAGCTTCTTCCTACAGCTTCTCCTAAGACCAACTGCTCCCCAGACACGTGTCGCACCATGCTGAACTGCATTGATTAAATTTGCGCCAGAATTGCACTGCACAGTAGCTCGTGCATCTGGAAAAAGGCGAGTCTGGAAAGAGGTCGTAGGAACAAACCCTAAGAGCCTATCTAAATGATGCTCAGCCTCATGCCAGACCTACTCTACCACCAGGCATCTCCTTGATTTATTAGCCATCCTTTATTCACACTTCTGTATCCTGGCACAGTGATATCCCTGTCGAACCTCCTCACTCTAGGGAGGGTACTAGGGAGGCTTTCGTTGGGGAAGGTAGATATATGGAGCCTAATGTCAACTTACACATATATTGTTATGTAGAAGTTATAGGCTGGATAGGGTATGTTCTTAGTGGGTACAACCCAAACGCTATATTTTCCCTGTTCTCCCTCCTTCTAATCATTCTCTTTAGTCTTAACATGGTATCAGAGCTGGGAAGCAGCCTCTGACAGGAAAGCAAGCTCGTACTGCCGGTCCTCCAAGACGTCACTGCCGAGAGCAGGAGCACCCGCAACGGACGGAGGACAGACAAGGTCAGAGGCCAGCGCGTCTCTGTCTGCAGTAGCAAAGACCAAGTCGTCTACGTAAACAAGGAGATAGAACGGAGTCTGTCCAGCATAAACGAAGAGCGAAGGGTCAGCAGAGGACGAAAAGAACTACAGGTCAGCTAGCGGGCACGCAGCGTGTCGTGCCACTCACGGGGCGCCTGTCGCAAGCCGTAGACGGGGCGCCGGAGGAGCCACCGGGTCCCAGGAGGGAAAGTACCCGTGAAGCTCTGAGGGTGGCGCAGGTAGACCTGCTCATGTAGGCTGCCCTGAAGAAAGCAGTGGAGAAGTCGAGGGAGTGAAGCTCGTAGTCACGCTGTGCTGCTACGTATAGCAGCGCCCGAAGAGTAGTCATCTTCGGGGTCGGGGCGAAGGTCTGAAAGAAGTCCACCCTCTCTCGCTGACTGAAGCCTCTAGCCACGTAGCGCACCTTGAACACAGGCGGTGTTGGTGCAACCCTATGGCTTGCACTCGGCTTGTCGTCCTTGTTTGTGTGTGTGCATGCATGGCATGGAATGAATTGTGAGTCTATATCATTGCTATCCAGTGCTTGTGTGTGTGTCTGAATGGTGTATCACAATGTGGTTTGTGTCGGTCAAGACATTAGCGAGTTTTTACAACTCGCATATCGTCGTTTGTGTGTCGCATGTGTTTTTTCTATTTTGTCGAGTGTGAAGTGTCCATCGTGTCACAGGTGTGTGCAGCAAGCCCCCATCAACTCAAGAAGAATTTATCTTGCAGATCCAAGAACAAGAGCTCAAGATTTCAAGCCCAAGGGACGCGGATAAATATTAAATAGTGAAAATAGTAACGTTACTTCGTGTAGTGTTACATTTCATTTGGTGTAGCCCCTTGGAGGGTTGGTTTCGAGAATCTTCATGGTTGGGGACTCTCTGGTGGTGTACCACCAACCTGGACCTCGGCTCTTGGGGTATGTAGAGGCTGGGAACTATCTCCCTCTCGAACTCTTCTTGCTAAGTTTGTACTCCTAAGACTATAGTGGCTACTGTACCTCCTGCCAGTCAAACCGCCATAGCGTCGTCAAATCTTCATGGAAATTCATTATTCAACTTGCTGCTGATAGACGGCAGCAACGCGCTCCAGATCCAACTTACAGATCACAGTTTGATTCAGCGACCAGATCGTTATCAATATTTGAAGCCGTCTGACGGAAATCCGACTGTGCTCTCTATCTCTCAGTATAGGCACATCTGAGCCTATTGTGACTATAACAGTGGTATCAGAGCCTGGAAGGTCCAGGGTTCGAATCTCAGTGTGCGCAGAGGAGGCGCCGGGTGCCCTGACGA